CTGTCTTTTCGAAATCTGCCCTTGGAACGCGTTGTGAGTTGTGCACCTTTAAGTCAACACAAGTGTAATGCACCCTAAGATTGGCACTTCAAAATGCTCTGTGCTGAAATAAATATTGCTTAGATAATGATTCCCTTGCACTCACATACATTTTGTTGCGTTGCAGGTGATATTTTGATCTTCATGCCTGGTCAAGAGGATATTGAAGTGACTTGTGATCTTATTACAGGTTAGTAACCATCTTTCAATTACTTCACTGATCTATGAGCTTAAAAGATTTCCGCTGTCGCGTTATTTTCCGCCCGTCAACGGGTGTGAATTTTAAGGGTTTTACTTGCGTAAAATGAAATGAGCAGATGAATGGACGGCTTGCGACTGCGAAAAAAGTTGAATGTGGGTCAACTTTTTTTCCGCGGACGCAAGCGTGAAATAACCGGATAATGGAAATCCGCCTTTACAGAATGCCGTTGAACTCTGATAAAATAGTCACATTCCTTTGCGCAAACACAAACGTGAGCTCGTTTTGCTTCCTTGTGCATCATAAGAAACAGTACCACAAGGAACCCCATAACAATAATTTCGCCAGGTAGCAAGGGGTAGGAATGGTTGATACAGGTCATTGCAGCAGTGAGACAGTTAAAACTTGTAAAACTTGAAGGAAAAACGTGTTACTGGTGGAAAACGCGGGAAAATTCACGTAAGCTTATGAAGGTTAGTATAGGATTCTTACGTGATTGGCTGAAAGGACGACAGCTTCGATTGGTTGGATCGTGTTTGTTTGTTGCTAGACCTGTGACCAATGCTCGACAAACACAAAACGGTAGCTCTTCTAGTGACATTTGCCTCTGTTTTTTGTTTTCAGAGCGACTGGACGAGATAGACGAAACCCCTCCGTTAGCAGTGCTGCCAATTTACTCGCAGCTGCCGTCAGACTTGCAGGCTAAGATATTTCAAAAGGCGCCAGACGGAGTCAGGAAATGCATAGTGGCAACAAATATCGCAGAAACCTCGCTTACAGGTTTACATTTTTGTATACTTTACCGGTAAAACTTTTATATGATTTTAAGGATTTAGGTAGCTAATCGTCTAGCGGAGTAGCGCAAAACCAAAGGCGAGTTATCTTCGATACTCAAGCGAAAACCGCTCAAAACACAACTTCTTTGTTTTATTTTTCAGTGGACGGAATCATGTTTGTGGTGGATTCTGGGTACTGCAAGCTGAAAGTGTTTAATCCTAAGATTGGTATGGACGCCTTACAAGTGTATCCCATCAGCCAGGTATTTCGCAAATCACTTTTACCCATTTATTATTCGTTTGTTTAAAAGTGTTTGTCACTGTGGAGTTTTATGTTACAGACTAAGGCTAGCTGCAGCATGCTACGAAGACAAAAATATCAATCATTAGTTAGTTATGAAAGTTAATTTGATCTTGGAGCAATGAGTTTTGCCTGTTTGTTGTAGGCCAATGCGAATCAGAGATCTGGCCGAGCAGGCAGGACCGGGCCTGGGTGAGTTGAGTACAAGAGAAAGATAGCGTTTCTTGTGTTCACCAGGGGCACCCAACGACCGTTTTCTCTCAAATGCTTTTAAACGCTGTTTTAGGCTATCTGGAGTACTTTTAAAGCTCTGTAGGTTAATTTTAGGTTGCGCTAAAAAAAATTTATCTGTTCGGTTATTC